TGCCTCCAGCATTTATAATGGTGTTAAATATATAAAAACGTGTTTTTAATGTATAAGGGGGGTCGCACTCAGAGGCTTGCTGTGTGAAAGGGGTCACCAGTACAAAAGTCTGAGAACCCCTGCCTTAAGGCCTATTTCAGAGATCCAGGACTGCCTGAGTGGAATGCTCCAGCCAGACTCCCTGAATAGCTGCTATGCGAGGGGGTCAGGAATGGGTGGTGTAGAGTTAGCTACAACAGCTTTAAACCAGTCAGGGATTCCCAGCTGCCTTATTAGGGTCGTTCTCTGTCCCCTTCGTATCAACTGGAGCTAACCAAAAGGGACCTATCTACCTTCGTGTGTGCAAAAACTACCACGTTTGCATGACTAAAACATTTGGTTTTGATCATGGATTGGATAATTACACAAGTCCCAGATCTGTGACTATGAATGTCTGTTTGCAAGCACATGAGATTCTTCCTTGGCAGTGGACATGTGGTCTTTTTTGTAAATGCACCCTTATGCCCACAATTGACTGTTTGTCCCGTTCCATCCCAGAATGTTATGAGCTATGACAGATCCTTAAAAACCCATATTTCTAACTTTCTTTTTACTAATAGTTTTCCCCCCAAAATCTATACAAATATTCAAAGTATTAGGCAAATCTTTAACAATGGCTAAGCATTGCTAATCATAGGGTTAGAATAGACTGCAAAATCTGCAATTTTCCTGTTTTTAAACCACCAAAGTAAATATTATCGGTTCATAGTTTGCTTGCAATTAGTACTAACAAATGTAACCACTATTTTTATTAATAATTTTGCAAACAGATGAAGGCTGCATCGCTATTATATTAACTAAGCCATATACCGGGGTGGCCAAACCGTGGCTTCTGGAGCCCCCCACACCTCATCATTCCTGGCTAACAGACTGGGGAAGGGGGCAGGAGCTCAGGGCTTCTGCCCTGCAGCGGAGTCATGGGGCTGGGACTTCTGCCAGAGATGACTCCTGCCTGCTAAGAGACGGGGGCACAATTTAAAGGTTCAGCCCTCCCAACAGCTTGAGTCACATGACCCCAGGCACCCTCCCCTCTTTCCCTCAGCAGCTTCTCCCTTCAGCTCCCTGGTGTAAGCAGTGACCAACAGCTGGGTGCTGCAGGGAGGGGCCTCTGCTTTAGCTCATTGGGGAGAAGCAGCAGCAAAAGCAGCTGAAGCCCGAGCCTGGGCAGACACCTCCCACGGGGCTGAAGCTCCAAGACTTCCCTCCCCTCAGGGCTGAAGCCTCAAGCCCCAGCAGGCACGCCCCAGCTCTCAAACTTCTGAAGATTGTCATATGTGGCTCAGTGGGTCAATTAGTTTGGCCAGCCATGCCATATGCAATCATACATAGCAATATCATTAGGGCAACAGCAAAGTGAAGTCAGGTGCAGTATAGGTTAGAAACATTCTTTGGTTTTATTTCCTCTTTTTCATACCATCATGTGTCAGAGAACACAACTGAATGGAAATTGCCTATACAGAATTAGACAGGGAAAGGCAGCATGCTGTGACATGTAGCTTTACTTCTCTTGGAAGTGAAAGGAAAGTGACACTGGTGTTCTGAATGAGGTCTACCATTACCCACTGTAGGTGGTAAAATCAGCTTGTGAGGTGCCTTTTGCTTCACTCAGCAGCATGCCTCAGTCACAAAACGCTGCAATTTAAAGTGTAAAATGTTACAGTGCACATTGGCAAGCAAAATTGTCAACCCTAAGCAGGCAAAAATCATGAGTCAAGCCTCCCAAATATGAGATTGCCTACAAATAATAAATTGGGGTTCTTTTTACTTGCCTTCTGTTTTTGAGCCTTTAGCATTCACATTTTCAAGTTTTTCTCTGCTACCATAAGGGTAGAAACTTACTTGTTTTTTTAAATGAAAGTTAAGATTATCACCTGACTCTAGGAGCTGGGGCTTTAAGAAAATGTATTAAATATGACAAACTTGCAATAAAATCATGAAAGTTGGCAACACTGCGTCAGGCACATAAAGCTGTGCTAATAATGTTGTGTTAATGCAAAAATACTCTTAGTAAATTGGGCTATGTGTGACTTATGATCATGGTAGTCACAAATAGGACATGAGAAATGGGGACACACAAATGCTACTAAGCTGTTTGGAGCATGCAGTTAAGGCAAAAGTTGTTTACTCCCTCATTCTGCAAAACTCACTGGCAGTGCTATTGCACATCTGGTAAAGAAATGGCTAGGAAGTCCATGCTTCATTGGGGAGCCCAAATGATGCAATTGGTAGACAACAAATATTTCTGGAGACACTTATACATGGTCACAGATCTGAGTGGAGCACTGACCATATTGGCATAGAAAGCATCAATGCAGAAACCCTGCTCACAGCCAGATCTGTACATAGAGAGAAGCCAAAACTAAGCGGTGTCTGGTGTATCTTATGCTGACTTTATAGGGTTTGAGCCAATGTCTATTGCAGTCAATGGCTGCAACCCTCTTTGCTTTAGTGGAGCAGGAGCAGGCACTAAATGCTTAGAGATACATCTGCTCTTTTGCATTGTTCTCACCTGTCAAAGGAAGTTCAGCACTGAGCCCATTAAGTGGAATGCAGTGTCACTGTGAAGAAACTAGACAAAAATCTTGGCTGTCCACAACCTTAATTTCTTCCTTGCCACCTTCTTCTCACTGTATTGAAATGGGCGGCTACGGCTTTAGGTTTTTTAACTTCTGCTTTGATCGCAGATGAGCTAATCCCCTGAAAGAATGAAAAAGGAAATATTAATGCTACACAGCACTTACGTAGCACTTTACATCTTTGAAGTGTTATCCAAGTGTTATCCAAGTCCATCTTTGAAGTGTTATCCAAGTTATCCAATGACCCCTTGCGTCATTAGTCTGATTGGATTCTATTTCTGTAACAAGGAAGGTCATTGTAAAATGACTGTACTTGGACAGCAGCTTATTGTTTTTTAAACAACGATTAATTTTACCCAGTGTGTTTCAATTCCTACTGTGATTTTTTTGCCAAAGGAAAATAAGTCTTTTATTACAGAATAGAAGTGAACAGGTTTGAAAAGATTTCTCGCACCTCTGAACATGAGGATGTTAGGAAGTCTGTAGGTAAGTCATAGCGCTACCATCATCACTGCTCTGTCTTCCTGCTCTGGACACTGCCAAGGTCCTACTATCTCTCCCTGGAAAAAACAGCACCAGAAATACTTATTAGATGATGATGTGACATCTCTATGGAAGGGTCAGCATGGTTGTTCAGAATACCTGTGTATAGGTGGTGTAAATCAGCTAGTTCATCTTTTACCTCACATCTAGTTCAGGTTAAAATTACTTTTGTCTTGAGAATCCTCCAGCTGACTTTTAATGTGGTTAAACCATATGAACAATGGAATATATTGTCAATTAAATGTAAAATGTAATATATTATATCAGTTTGTTTTGATTATCACTTTATTTTTAAAAAATCCTAAACTTTGAAACATACATTAATATACCAGTAGTCTGGAAAGTTTCTTTCAGGCTTAGGCAGTTTTTATTAATAAAGATGATGATTGCGGTCTCAGTGAAATATACCTTTATACTTTTTCACTGTTTGATCTAACAAATAATCCAACAATCTAATGTAATTAAAGTCCATTAATGTTTGCATTCTAGATTATTCATTCAGTAAGTACTCCTTTTCCCTCCGGTAGTAATATTTATAGCCAAGGCAATAGTTTTAAACTGTTGGCTACCGTGATATTGATGGAGATGAGTTTATATGGATAGATATACTTGTGTGTCAGACTATTTGTCTTACAATTACAACGTATATAAATATCGAAGGTGAAAAGTTGCAGGGAGGAAATGGCATGCAGTAACTGTTTGAGTATGCACTAACCCAGCTGTTCTTTATTTATCTTGCCAAAATATCAAGTCTGATGGTGGTACAAGCAACAATAGACACACCTTTTCTTTAATAATCACAGTTAGAATCTTGCACTTATTGTGAGGAGGATGAAAAGGGATCGTACTTTTTTACTTTAGGGTAAATAATACTGTATTTTTTGCTTTTGTGGTTTGATTGAGGTATCATTTCATGACCTCATGACAATCTCACATCCACCTTTAGGCTTTTTGTTTTCAATTTCAGTCTAGCTCAGATTCTGTGGTTCAGTTATCAGCTCTAGAAATGAAGTTTAGAAAGGAAGAACTACCACAACTTTAACTACACTGTATCATAACAGTGAAACACTGTCAAATCTGTTTAATTATAGTCACAATTATGAAACAGCAGCCTTGCAAAAGATCCACACTGTCGATCGGAGTTGGCCACCCAAGTAACCTTTTGCCTCTGGAATTCCCTCTTCCCTTGTCCCCTCCGTCCCCTCCTAACGACCAGGACATGATGGTTTTCTTATTTGTCCTCAAAATATTAGCTTTATCCTGCAGTCTTTTGGTGTGCAGATCTCCCATTGGCTTCATCAGTGTTGAAATACACATACAATATGGGCTGCAAGATCATACCAAAAAGGTGGTGTTCTTCCTAAACATAGAGCATAAGGTGACTTGCAGTCAGGTGAAGGTTAATTGATCTGCTTCTAAATTTAGTTGGGATCAAGGTGAATTAAGGTAGAAACCCTGGGACCGATGAGTCAGGAGCTGCCAGAGTACACCTGAAAGACTGAGCAGGAGAGAGATGTGGGGTAGCTGATATGTATTCGGAGGAAGTGTCAGTAAAATACCAGGAAGGTCATGGAGACTAGCAGCTCTATGGGAACCTTTTCAGAAGTGGAAGAGTCTGGCAGAAGTTTTTGTTATCAAGGCCCTTTTTAGCCTTACTTCACTCTTGGCCGGAGTTTGTTGATTTCTAAAACATCTTAGACAGAGATTGAATAGAACGAGACTCCAGGATCCAAACATTGGGGAAGCTTGGATCTAGATCGTGGGCTTCTCTCTGGATTTAAATATCTGTGGTAAACTGACATAAAGACTTGAACATTAGTCCCTTTTCTTGTCTTCTTCCAGGTGAACAGGAGCCAGCAGTCAGCAGTGATTCTGATATATCGTTGATTATGGCGATGGAGGTGGGACTGTCTGATGTGGAGCTTTCCACTGACCAAGACTGCGAAGAGGTGAAATCATGAAAAACAAGCAGAAAACCCTACTAAACTAAAGGGTAGGCATGAGGGGCAGGGACAGAGTCAGCTTTCTAGAATTTGCACCAGTCACATATACACACTCATACACACATACACCCCTCTAGAACACTATCAATCCAGTGCACTCCGTTCTGAGATGGTCATGAAAAAGCAATAGCAACAGTTGTGTCTACCTGGATGCAGTTTCATCATCTACATGTGTCTATTTTGTTCACATGGAAGATGAAAGCTTATTGTTTTCCCACACACTTAAAAGCAATCCTGTACCTCTTCAGTGGCTCGTAAGTGTACAACTGAAATGACAGCTTGAGTGTTTTCTACTCTTGTTCATTGTTTTTTTAAAAGAAGATGATGTTTATTTATAGTTGATTATCGATGGACACTGGGGTTTTTTTTTTTCGTTGACTGACCCCAGCTTTTCCAAGAGTTCAGTCTGGAAGTTTGAATTCCTCTTCTCTGATCATTTCATGATCTGTCTCCAGGATTTATTATTGCCTTGACATTTCTGCATGAAGTATGCATGGCTTTGAAAAGAAATAGTGCTTCAGCACTCTGTATTAATATGAAGCCTATTTTCTTTAAGATTTTAAAACCTTTAAAGTGGGTCTTGGAGATTATATCTTCAAGAGGCCTTTATCCATGTGAGTTGAAGCCCTCAATTAATTGACATTGGTGTATTGTTGTTTCAAACAGCATTATGTTGGCTTCCACTTACAGAGCTCGATTAAATGCACAGACAGTAACATGTGTAAGAGAGAAAAATAATGGCACTAAACTTCATCCTGTACTTGCTATATTTTCTGCCATTGACAGCCTCTGGTATTAATGGCCTTCCTTATGACTTCCTTGTTCAGTAGCTGGAAAACAGGATCTAGTTTAAAATCAGGTACTTCCTTAAATTTAAAAACAAAAATCAGCAGACCAATGAGTGTCTGAGCAGTTTCAAGAGGGCGCTTGGTAATCCTCTTGTGGGTATTTGTAGTTGATGGAAATACTTTTAGAAAAGGTCTGAACTGTAAAGACGATTACAATGTCAATTTCCAGAATAAATAGTTAAACCAAGAGCAGCTGGACAAATTGTTTACCTTCATATTTTTAAGTGCAGTTTTTGCACATAATTGTTAGCAAACACAAGGATTTAGGTGAATCTTCAGTTCACTGCTTTCTAGAGACCTCTGAATGTGGCAATAGGAGTCAGATGAGCAACTGGTGTATTTGAACCTGAAAAAAATTTAAACAGAAGAATTCAGGTTTTTTCTGGCTGATAGATTAAAAATTAAGGCATCGTATGAATGCCAAAACCGAAGTCTTTAACTATTACTAGCCTGTCTTTAACTATAACTTACAGAAATGCACCACTTATTGCTAATTATTCAGGGGGCGATTTTATGTTTCAGTCAAAATATTCAAGTGCAAAGGAGGACTTTCAGCTTGTTGTTTATAAGAGAGTGAACATTTTCTTTTGACAGTCAAATGATTTAAATCACATTACCCCTTCTTGAGCAGGTCAGTAGAATCAACAGCACATGGCTCATATACAAATTGCAAGGAAAGGAAAACTATTTTCACCTAACTGTATTATAGCAGAATCTCAAAATGCCACTATGTTCTTTCAGCATTGCCATTTTAATCTCCTCTTTTCAGGCATTTATACTTTAACTATAAAAATTTACTCCCTGCTGAAACTTGGCATGTGAGGTCTTACAGTAGGAGGAATTTGTTTAACAATTTTTTTTAAAGCTAGTTGATTCTTTCTTAAATTACAGGATGGGTGAGGAGGAGGGAGAAAGAGAGTTTGCTGGACTCTTTTTGTCCAGTTATGACTCGCTTCATTTTGTAGATGAAATTTTGAGTGTTCTTAGTCCACACAAGTGAACTAGGAGCTTTCAGCAAAATAACCCAAGCTAATGACAATTCAAAACTGTGGGCCGGTGCACACACCGTTACCTTTTTATAAACAGTTTTTAAAATATATCTTTTTGTTTTATTAAAGGGACATAGTCAATTGGAAATCTAGTCAGTTTGAAAAGCAAGTTAAAGATAATGTCAGACTCTTCACCTGCTTCGGGTCACCGTTGCCAATATTTGTGGTTTTATAATCAGATTTTTTTAACTTTTTCTGTTCGCTGTTTCTCTGTGAAAGACCCACACTAACCTCAGGGGAATGTGACTGACTGACTGACATAGTGAAGTGCACCCCTGGGCACAAGGTAGCACATAATCCCCACTTAAGCCCTAGAAATAATACTGAAATGGGATGTAAGTGATGTATAGGCCTTCTGCACAGGGATAAAATTCACCTAAATTGGCTATACAGGGGAAATAAGGAAACTGATATACACAAAGAGCTCTCAATACACAAAGTAAACAAACTGATGAAGTAGAGAGAGAGAAAATTCACTCATCTCTCCCAGTTATAGTCATCTTAGGAGTTACTTGGATCAAGAGTAAGTTAAAAAAATGTTCTGTCAGAAACATGATGTTTAAGTTGACTGTGACCCTTAACATCAAATATTTGCAGACTATGAATAGACAGAACAATTAGAATCATCCTTAAAGCCAGCGCATGGATTGCAGTTTAGCTGACTCAAAGCATTTATTTTATTACAAAACTTTTGTTAAACTAATGTCAAGGGTGAGCATTGCCAGTTATCTCTAGTCATCTCATATTGGGATGATCCCAACAGTAAGGCAGGCGAGGTCAGTACTTCAGTGAGGGATGAAAGAAAACCCTAACTCTTTGATCTGGTTGGGACTTAGGCACATGTTTAAAGCTAAGCACATGTCGTGAATGGGGATGCTTTCCTAAATCAGGACCTGATTGATAAAGTGTTCTTTGTATTTGAAATTTGTCAAGCACCTTGGGAATCTTTGGCTGAAAGATTATTACATTACGTTATTAAACCCACAAAATCAGGAAAGTTAGTGTTAAGACTAAGGCCTGGTCTACACTACGACTTTAATTCGGATTTAGCTGCGTTAATCCGAATTAACCCTTCACCCGTCCACACTACAGAGCCAGTTAATTCGAATTAAAGGGCACTTAAAATCGATTTCTGTACTCCACCTCGACAAGCGGAGTAGCGCCAAAATCGATTTTGTTAATTCGAATTAGGATTAGTGTGGCCGCACACCACCGAATTAATGTGGTTAAATTAATGGGGTAGTGTGGCCGCACACCACCGAATTAATGTGGTTAAAAACCGAATTAAGGTGCTTAGTGTGGCCGCGCACAATCGAATTTATACAACCTGTTTCCCAAATTCGAATTATCTAAATTCGGATTAATCCCGTAGTGTAGACATACCCTATGTGCCCTCTATAAGATGGAAAAAAAACAATTGATCACCTTTTATGGATATGTAAGGGCTTTGATAAAGAGAGGTAAAAGCTTTTCGAGGAATTAAAATATCTTAAGGTAAAAAAAATACATTATGTGATTTAGTAACAACATTAGTGAAATGGAGTATTATTAAAAAGATGCTGTTACATTACCTGAAAGACATAGGGCAGAGTGAGAGGATATAAACTGCTACATAGTGAGGAATTATAGTTGGTATCATAGACTACTCAATCAAGTCTACTTCAGCATAGAAAAGAAAGGTGTGGCAAAGGAGTCCCTGACTGGGAGAAGAGTCTGGGCCTAGAAGTCAGAGCAGAAGGTTGAACCCCAGCTAGGAAAGGCTGGAAGTGACAGATTCATGAAGAGCAGACTGGGACAGAAGAAGAGCTCTGGGTGTGGTAGAAGATGCCAGAGCTGAGTATGAACTTTTGTGTTGCAATGTTAGACTTTATTTTGGGAACCTGGGGATAATTTTGAACTGTTTCTGTTATTAAACCAGCCCCAGGCAAGGGTGATATTAGCCATGAGAAAGAGCGTGAAGTTTTTAAGGGGCTCTGAAGACAGAAAACAAGAGGCAGGATGCTGTAGCGCCACCTGTGGCCATGGATGGGGTGCTCAGAAGATGGCTGACCCTGCTTCAGACTTGACGTAATAGCTAAGGTTCCAATGCTGCAAACTTGCATGCACTTAATTCTATACATGTAAATAGCTCCAATGAAGTTACACATGTATGTATGAGTGTCTTTTTGCAGGGTGGGACCTAATACACTATTTAGGTTACTAATGAGTCTCCTGCGTGTAGACCTGATGGTTCTATGCCAGTGTTTTTCAAAGTTTGGGTCCTGACCCAGTACTGGGTCGTGGCATGTAAGGCACTGGGTCGCCTTGTTCAGCACCCAGGGACCAGGACGTTAAAAGTCCCATCAGCGGTACTGCCCAGCTAAGGCAGGCTAGTGCCCCTCTGTTCTGACTCAGCACTGCGCCCCGGAAGCGGCCAGCAGCAGGTCCGGTTTCTAGGCAGGGGGGCCACGGGGCTCTGTGCCCTGCCCCTGCCCCAAGCACTGGGCGGGGGGGGGGGGGGGGGAGGGTCGGTGCCTGCGGGTGAGAGCCGCGCGGAGCTGCTTGTGTACCTTCGCCTAGGAGCAGGACTTGCTGCTGGCTGGTTCCGGGGCGCAGCGCAGTTCGCGGTGCCAGGACAGGCCTGCCTCTGCACCTCAGCTGCACTGCTGACCAGGAGATGCTGGAGGTAAGTCTGTGCCCCAATCCCCTGCCCCC